TTTGGTTTTGTTTTTATTTTTGTTGACATTTTGATTTTCTATTGTCCCTTCCTCACGAGATTTGGTATCTTTGCATTTATTTGGAAATATTTCATTAAGATGTAATTTAGACCAGTTGGCCTGTTCATGGAACACAGCTGTTCTGGAAACTATAAATTTATTATTATTATCAATGAATCTGTACCCTTTGGTGCCAGTTTCATATCCCATAAATCTTAGTCTTCTGGATACGTTTTCTCCCTTTCTTCTCAACTGTTTGGGTATGTGTACGTCTGCAGTGACCCCAAATATGTGCATGTGTGCTAATTTTGGTTTCCTATTATACATCACCTCATATGGTGTCTTATTCACAATACTGGACCAGGTTCTATTTTGAGTGTAATTTGAATAATGTAGGGCTTCTGACCAAAATTGTTTGCCTAAACCAGCATCCTCTAATGTGCATCTAATCATGGTTTGTAATGTGGAATTCTTTCTCTCTGCAATCCCGTTCTGGAACGCAGAAAATGGACTAGACGTGTAATGTAGCATTTCTCTATCCTTTAACCATTGGGAGAATTCTTTAGACATGAATTCACATCCCCTATCTGTCATAATTTGTTTTATTCTGATATTATGTTGTGTTTCTATGCGTTTGTAAAATTCCTTAAATTTTTGAAAGGTTTCATCCTTGTGTTTTAATGTGTAAACAAAACCATAGCGACTGTAATCGTCTACTATTGTTAGGAAGTAACGTTTTCTATAAGTGATTGATGGAGTTAATGGGCCAACTAAGTCCATGTGTACTAAGTCAAAAATTTTGTTAGTTGATCTGGTGGATTTTTTTGGCCTGGGACTAGTTTTTAATTTAGTAGATTTACATACTGAGCATTCCAAATAATTTTCACAAATTTTTATTTTGACACCTTCTGCGTGTTCAGTCATTTTTTGTACTACAGGAAAACTTGCATGTCCTAACTTCCTATGTAAGATATGAGCACACTCGTCATGAATTGGTTTACCTATTTTTGGTTTCTTCTCATTGTGTGTATCTGTGTGATCATGAGATATTTTACATTCATCATTGTCACTGTTACTAATATTTTCATCATCTGCCTCAATACAATCTTCCATATTTGAATCAATGTTATGTAACCATCTTTCTTTTGTTATCAGATAGGGTAGGCCTCCTTTAATCATCACAGTGCCTACATTTGTTTTATTCTTCTCTAAAGTTGCTTTTCCCTTTGAGAAAACTATATTGATGTCAGAATCTCTGCTTAGTTTTATGGCACTTAGTATGTTATGAGGTATTTCTGGTATTAACAATACCCCCTCTATTTTTCCTAGACCAGGCAAGGTCACATTCCCTCTGCCTAATACTTGAACTTTTTCTTGATTAGCTACCTTTATTACAAACTTATCTTCTGTAAATGAAGACAATATATTTTTGTTATTAGTGGTGTGATTAGTTGCCCCAGAATCAATAAGCCAATTATTGTTCTCATTTTGTTGCGTTTTAGTGCTGTCTTGTTTATTTAGTCCATTCAGTGAACCAGATTTTCTCTCTTTTGAATTTTCTCTGCCCCCTCTACTTTCTCTGTAATTTGGTGGGCTTCTATATTTATGTCTATCTGTGGAAGACTGTCTATAATTGTATTTATTCCTATATTCTGACCTATGTCTTTCCTTTGAAATTTTGGGACAATCTCTTCTATTGTGTTCCCTGGACCCACAATTGTGGCATTTAAAAGTTTCATTATATTTTTCTTGGAAAGCTACCTTCTTAAAAGATTTGTGTTCTGTATGATTGCTATAACGATTTTTTCTTGAATTGTCTTCTGCTATCAATTTGTTAGACAGACTTTCTATTGACAAATATCCTAGATTGATGGTGTCTAAGTGTGACATAAAACTATCCCATGATGAATCAAGTGAGTTTATAATAACACTTTTCATTGTTTGATCTGAAATCACTTCCCCCCTCAAATGCAGCTCAGCTCTTATTTTGTTTAAAGATATTAAATGCTCACTTATGGAAACCCCTGGTTTTACTCTGGAAGAAAAGAAGTCCTTAGACATTCTTGTGGTGGTAGCTACACTATCGCTGTGAAACAAATTAAACATGCATTGAATTATTTCTGAAACAGTTAGATTTGGTTTGATGCTATGATACATTGCAGGAGACACGCTAGATATTATTAAGAAAAATGCCTTATGGTGTAAACAATCTATTTTTAAAGTCCAAGGTCTTCTTGGGGACTAGTGATAAAAAATAGTAAATTTTCTTTCATAAAGACAACCTGGAGCTGTTGATACCATTCTTGTAAATTAATGCCATCAACCCTAAGTTTTGGGAAGTCACTGGGTAAGTTACCCACATTATTTTGTCCATTACTTACAACCTGAGGTAGTCTGTGGTCTCGCAAATGTAGGAAATTGCAAAACGGCATGGGGATGCTCGCAACGAGTCTGCGCGGTTCTCTGGCCAGTTCAAGTTTTTCCGGACCGTCTACGTAGTTTCGCACATGCGCGTTGTTCATTTCTTCTTTGACGTCGTCGTGGAAGGTTCTCTCCATTGTAGCTCGCTCGCTCCGCTCCTCTTCAGACGAGTCGGTCTCTGGCTCGGTCTTAGGAGTTCTGATGGCGGCGACTGTTCTTCTCTTTCTTTTGGGTGCGTTGGCACTTGCTTCGGTCTGCGGTGTAGGGCGGAATCGACATGGCTCTCTGGGCTCGGGCGTCGTCGTTCTCGAAGTCAGGATGGGAGCGTGCAGGTCTTGAAGTATCGGCTTGTTCGCTTGCTTCTTCGTTGGCGCTTTGGAAATTTTTAATTTTGGCCCAAATGCAGCAAAAAGCGTCTTCATTGCTGACTTTACTTGGGATTTCGTTAAGTCGTCTTCATTTTCTGATTCTGGCTCTTCCGAAGAGTTTGAATCCTCCTTTTCACTTTCGTTGTCTGATAACGTTTTTCGCGCCAGAAATTTTGAACTGAGCATTTTGATTGGCTCTGCTTCGCTCACTTTGGAGGCTTGTTGAAACCAAGATGGCTGCCATTCAAAATTTCGCGCGGGATCACATTTTTTCTTTTTCATAACGACTTTCTCTGTAGTCATATCACTCACAGTTTTTTGGTCTTTGGGTTTCTCTTTAGCGATGTTTTTCTCTCTCGCTGCTCCGCTGTTCTTCAGCATTTCTTGGAGGTTCGCGATGAGGCTTTCATCATTCTTCTGGCTTTTTAATAACTTCAGTATCTCTGACCTGAGTTCGTTATTTTCTATTTCGATTTCCTCCTGGCCATCATTTTCATTTATTAATTCTTCTTCTTCAGTGGTGTATTCTTCGGATTCTCTCGAAATCGCGTTTGTGGATTCGTTGATTATTTCTTGTTCAGTTTCTATTTCTTTGCTGTAGGCCCTGGTGTTGAGCCTATCTTTCTTAGACATTTTTAGGTATTTATTGAGTCAATTAACCATCCTCTGCTACCAGTTTGTTGCAATATTTTTAGGATCAGACTCAATAATAATAATGAGAGTTAGAGGTTTAAATATATTTCTCTTTAATTATAATAGGCATTCTATATTCACTGAATATTCACAGATAGAAGCGAAGAAAATGGTGAAGGTGGCTCCTTATATATACAAAGGGTGGAGCCAAGAGTGGGAGTGGTGAATTATGAATACATTAAGAGTCAAAGAATAAGTTAACCCCTGATATCCCATATATACATTATTTACACATTAGGGAATAAGGCATTTACATCTGACAAAGTGAATATATCACTTCTAATAATTCAGTTTTAATCTATATACCATATGGCCTCTCAAACATTATATTATATGACTTCTCAAACTTTATGGAATTGCTGCCCACTGTGATCATTTGGGTAACAGAGAACAACACCCAGAGACAGTTTTAATAGTGTCCCATGTCACTTGCATAAGCCTGATCAGGTTTTTAAAAGTACTGTGATCCCCACTTCTAAGTTGTTTATGATTATTCAGGGTATCCTGACTCTATATGAAACCCCTTCAATCTACCCCATTAAACTCTCTTGCCTCACGCAGCCGTAAAAAATTCATCAGACTGTGCCATTTTTATTTCTTTGCAATCTTTCCTTTTAAAAAATGATAAGAGAACAGTTTTCATACTGATGTTATTCATTTACTGAAAATATGGACAGCTATAGCAATGAGATTTTGCAGTTGCTGAGAAGTCGGTGCTGCCATTTTTTTGATAATCTGTCTGCAGCAAAGGCCTGTGGATGACTCTTGATGTCCAAATCCTACATTTCAGATTTAAAGGATTAACAGAGTTGGAAGGGACATTGTAGGTCATCTAGTCTGACCCCCCGCCCAAGCTCTAAAATGCTTCTAGAAAAATTTGGGGTGGATTTGTGTGGCCTAAATGTACTGGGCTATAATTCTTACTACACCTACCCATACCAGCATGATCATGCTGTAGTCTCCATATATTTGTGGACACAAGTTTGGAGAAAACTGGAGTGGAGCATCAATTAATTTGTGATCGAGCTCCAGGCTGTATCTTTTATTGTCGGCGTTTCTCAACCTTGGCCACTTGAAGAGATGTGGATTTCAACTCCCAGAATTCCCCAGCCAGCAAAGCAAAGTCCACACCTCTTTAATTGGTCAAGGTTGAGAGCCTTGGTAGTACAGTGGTCTAAAGCACCCTGTTATTAAGACCAGCTACCTGCAATTACTGCCGGTTCGAATCTCACCAGGCTCAAGGTTGACTCAGCCTTCCATCCTTTCTAAGGTAGGTGAAATGAGGACCCAGTTTGTGGGGGCAATAAGCTGACTTTGTATAAATATACAAAAGGATGAAGGCTATTGCTTAGCGCATTGTAAGCCGCCCTGAGTCTCCGGAGAAGGGCGGCATATAAATCAAATTAAAAACAAAACAAAACAACAACAACACTGTTTTATGTCATTCGTTCTGCTAGACTTCTCTCAGGACATTAATGGAAGAGCTCTTTTTTTCATGGAATGTCTCGCACTCTGTAGGAGCAAAGAAGTGGGAAAAAATTACAAGGTGACAGAAGAAGCAAGGAAGCAGAAAAGGAAGGATGTCACTGACTTGCAGAGTCTGGTATGTTATCGTGGGCTAGCTTGATTTTTTTTTTTTTACATTCAAGACTGCTAAAGCTGCTGTTGTCTCCTGTAGTTGATCAGTTGCAATCATCCTTGTGGCTATATGTAGCAAGGGAAGTATCTCATGGAGTACATAAAATAGCATTAGCGTAGGCAAAATGGCACTGTCCGCTCGATGCATTTATGTAGGACTTTCCTCTGGAGGATGTCAGGAAGTTACAAGCAGGTAAAAAATGGCTATAATGTTATTTACTACCTCAGCTGAAAATCTTAAGTATTCAGTGGTACATTGGTGCTTCACCCGAACAGGAAACACTGTAGCAGGGTTTCAAAACACTAGGATTTTCAGGTAAACAAGGAATCCATATAATGCCTCAGACAGGTTCGGTCTTTTATGGGAAGAGTCTTTTTCAAGGAGGATAGGTATCCCAGCAGCTCAAGATGAAAAGTCCTTGGAGGGAAGCTAACGGGGATTGTAGGGAGGGGGCACACCCACAGATGTGTATATGAAGCAATTGGAGGGGAGGCATTGCCCATAACAAAACGAGGTCATGAATGAGGCTACACTATGCTACTTGAGCCAGCAACATGGAAAACACCACATTTGATGTATAGCAAGAGAAGATTGATAAAGGCTAGGGATAAATTGAGAATGACATTAACTTCTTGATAAACAGGGAAGTGCCTGATTCCACTGCAAGCAGGACATATGGATGAGACCTTTGTATTGCTCTGGGAGAGGCACTAAATGACAGAAGGTCTCTCTCTCTCTCTCTCTCATTATAGGAGCACCAATTTGATGGCCGGGCTCAAGACCCAGGTAAATTTAATCTGTAGTTGGTTTTAAATCATCTTGACCTCTAGAGCATAGTCCAATCAGTCAATAGAAAAGACATAAATTCTCAATTTCCCATAAGAAAGGAAATACCAGAGTTCATCTTTTAGCTAAAGCTGGATTTATTTGCAAGAGGCTGAGAGCTGCAATTGCTGTCACATACAGTATCACGTGCTTCTACAGAGACTGCAGAGCTTAGGCAGTTGAAAACCTTTGTTACTATATGTTGCTGGTTTCCCTCCACATAATAAGGAATGATTGCCAGAGACCATACTGGATTTATGCCATTGTTATGCTCTGCAGAGGGTAATACACTACCCTAATTCCTTGCTGGGAAGTCTGACTTTAGATGAAGGACGTCCTGTCTATGCCCTTTCCCATAATTGTTAACACCGGATTGTGCTTTTTAAAAAAATTCTACAGAAAAATTATATGAGAATAGGTCACCGTATTACATGAGAATAGATGATTACACATGTGTACATTGGTTCTCATTCGGTTCTTTGGTCACTTTTGTCTCTTTGTGGCCTGATGGACATTCTTTTGCCTAAATTGTCTATCAGAAACCCTTAAATTTTTGTAAGCTCATGCTTGTGTCGTCAGTGACAAGTTTTTCTTCCTCCGTGTCTCACCCATTTTTTGGCTGCAGCCCACCACAAATCATTCAGATTTAGTCCTGGGGCAAAAAAATCCCCCCACTCCATCATCTCCATGTATTGGGTAGTTTTCTTGACAGACCCACATTAGTGATTTGGCTGCTTTTTTAAATTCCAGTCTCACTTGCAGCCCTTGTATTCTCTGCTGGTTTTGTATTAAGTATTAAGCAGTTTTGTATTCAAGTATTAAGCAGCCCAACCTTATGTAGCTTTGAAACACAGACATTTTGCCAGATGATGTTACCTGCTGTAGAGCATGCAAAAAGGATGAATAATTACATGCCTATTGGTGGACCACTAGGAGTTTTCTGGATCTGTGCATAGTGTTACAAAGTCAAACCATTTCATATTTAGAAGTGAAATTGTTAGCAACTCTGGATAAATTGCTATTTTCCCCAATTCTGTAGAGGAACAGCTTTTAGGTATTTCAGCACATTGCATAATATTATGAAATTACCTCTGTCTTAGAGCTGAGTTCGGAGATGGGCAGCTCTACAAAAATAAATAGAGCAAAAGATAGGAAGATAACTCTAAAGCAGGCAAAAAAGGTAATACTATCTCTTGTTTTTTGTTTCAAGTCTCCGGCCAGTATTATCTGTTTGACAGCAGCACTGGAGCACGGCGTTGGGTGTGAACATGGAGGAAAATGAAGAGCCAGCTCTCTGGACACCAGCAACTCTCTGTCTGGTATCTGCTGTATCTGCTGATATGGTGGCATAAGAGTAGCTTTCCATTAGTTACATGTATTTTAATAATCAGAGGCTGTCACTTTCCTTTCTTCTTTTGCTCTGGTTTCCATGGTTGTTTCATCGGTGAAAAGTTCTTTCCACTATTTATGGTACCCCCATATCTGGAAATTCTCCATATTATACGAGATGGTAACAATGGTGATATGATATTAGATGAAACATCAATCACTTGTCCCTCCTTACAAAGCCATGTGTCTATATGAGAAAGTGCTGTAATAAAAGTTCTTTTAGTGTTGCTTGAGTGCAGAAGAATCATATGTCGACTATAAGATCTGGTTCAAAAACAAGGGATAACAACTGAGTTTAATATTAAATTATCTATATCTCTGGTTAGGCATATTCACTTCTGTTGTAGCTCAGTGGTTCTGAAGATTTGTGGCATTTCACAATATAGCATCATGTATATATTTATTTCCATCGATTTCATTTCTCTTGCTGATTGTTGGGGATACTTGAATAACTGAGAAATAATAACAAGAATTATGCAGAGCAACAACCTGTTGGTCAGTATTCCAAAGTCAAACACAGCAACATGGGATACAGTAATTGTAATTTTCTAATACTTTATTCAGTGCAAATTAGGTGTATTCATGGTGAGGCATATTTTTTCCAGGCGCTCCCTAGGCAAAGCTTCACTCATACTAGTGCTATTATAATATAATAAAGTAATAAAAAAGAAATAAAAAATCTTTCCCTGACAGATAAAGCTATCAGAAGTCAGACATTTTTAGGGCATGAAATAGCAACTTCCAGACCAGCTGTGGTCCAAATGCCTGTCAGATTGATTCCCTTTTTACTTCAAGGGGATGTGTTGTTTTTCTGCTCAAAATCTGGGGATTAGTACTGCAGCTTGCCACTAACTTGTAACTAAGCCTATTCTCCTTGATATCCTAAAAAAAATCTGCCTACAATGGCCAATGATTGTATTTACAGCATTGTATTATTTTAAATATTTGGATAATCTAAATTTTGATTATGTATGTAGTCCTAACATTACAGTTTATAGTAACTTTTTTTTTTTTGGGTGTGCAGTAGTCGCCAGGATAAACTTGTGATGTGAAAGTGCCCTCTGCTGGAGCAGCCAATTGAAACAACTTGATTTGTTACTGGAACTAATATAAGATTATACATTCTCAGTGTTGCACAATAAAGTAATTAATTGCTTAATTAAGTACCCTGTTTCCCCAAAAATAAGACATCCCCTGATAATAAGCCCAATCGGGCTTTTGAGCGCATGTGCTAAAATAAGCCTCCCTCCGAAAATAAGCCTTCCCTGAAAATATTTAATCGCAGAGCTGGAAATCAGGTAAGACAGCAAGAGGAGCCCCATCTTGCTCCACGCACCCCAAAATAATAAGACCTCCCCGAAAATAAGGCCAAGCGCTTATTTCAGGGTTCAAAAAAATATAAGACAGGGTCTTATTTTCGGGAAAACATGATAATTAATACAAGTAATTAATGACAAGTAAATATGTTTATAGTTCTATAGGATTCTATGATTTCTTTTTAATAGACTATTGGTATGTTTAATTGTTAAATATATTGAAATACATAGTGGAAAAAAGAAATTATTGAAATAGAAAGTAGAAAAAACAAAAAAGATGGCTGTATTTGAAATAAAAGAAAGCATGGTGAAATTAAGCCAATTGTATATTTTTCTTATCCACCTGAGCAGCTGCTAGCTGAAGCTGAAGCAAGTGAGAGAAGCTGAACAAACAACAAATGAATCCAAGAAATAAATAAGAGCTGAAATAGGGAGTGCCTTTTGGGATTATGGGTATCCAGGAAAAGTCAAAATGTCAAAATGATATTGAACTACATAGTGAGGACAAGATTGAATTACCAATAATTTACTATGTGTATTGGCTGATATGACTGTAACTTAAATCCTTTCTGGAGAAAAGATATAAAGGTATAGGCACCAAAGACACCATAACTATTTTTGAAAAATTAATAACTATCCTTCTCAATTTAAAGGAACAATCTCAACAAATTATACGTTATTATTGAACTTGGAATTAGGTAACCTCTATTAATAGTGACTCTTCTTGATAGCTAGCTTATGTACTACTTGCAGACTCAAGGGCTCTTTATCTTAAAATACCAACTACTAAGAAGCAAATTGAAAAAGCAATTTACATTTAACTTCTACACTTCTGCTTTTACTTTTGCTTCTAATTGGTTGACAACTATTACATACAATGCTGGATGCTGGATCCTGTATAGGCCTCCAGTTAAATCTGTTAAGTTCTGTGTATTTAAGATTTCCAAAAAGGAATATTCTGTGAAATTTTATTATACAGTCAATGTTTCATATATGCAATTATGTGTAGGCTGGAAGGCCAATATTAAGGTTTCACATACTACTGACTTTCAGATGAGTGAAAAGCACTTTCTGGATACATGCAGGAGATGCGGCTACAATATGAATTTCACTAAAAAGGTCTATAATTTAAAAATAATATTTTACTTGGATTGGTACTTTGTATGTGAACTTACTTTCTAATACTGATGAAACAGCCATGTTCAGAAACTCTCTTGTCATTGCCTTGGTCAAAAATAAGGTTCCTTTAATCTTATTTGATGGGCAAATATTGTATTTCTCCCTGCTTGTTTAGAAAACTAGCAGAAAGCCTACACCAATTATATTTCATTGTGATACCTTGCATTATTGTCATAGCTGACAGTTCATTTTCCTGCTGTGACCTATTTTTAAAAAATCTGGTTAGATGTAATGAACAATATTAAACATGTTGTCTTCAATAATTAAAACAATTCCAAATGTCCGTAGCCTCTTCGTTTAATACCAACCAAGAAAACTTCATGACTTTAGTACTTGGGGTTTTTTAAACAACAACAACAACAACAACAAAATCAGGAGTGAAATGTATGTACAACTATGAGTAACTGTGACATTTCCCTGCATCTCTCATTACTGCAAGTTTGAACTGAAATTTGATTAAATTTGATTTAAATAAAAAATAAAAAAGAGGACAGAGAAATGTTTTGTAAAGGTATAAATTATCTGATGGGTTGGGGTGTGTGCAGTGGGTTCCATTTGACCTGATAATTTGCCATAGGACAACCATAAGTTTGCAACAGAGAAATTTAGAAAATACTTTGTTTTTTCAAAGACCAGATGAAGTACCAGTAGTCTGGTACTACTAGTACATATACTCAGTTATTATTTATTTTAAACACTTTAATAGAATAGAATAGAATAGAATAGATTTTTTTTATTGGCCAAGTGTGATTGGACACACAAGGAATTTGTCTTGGTGCATATGCTCTCAGTGTACATAAAAGAAAAGATACGTTCATCAAGAATCATAAGGTACAAACTAGGAACTTTTTTTTAAAGTAAAATTTAAGGCAATCTTAGTCAGAGGGCAGGTTTTGACAGCCCGGATAAGGCTGGAGTTTGTAAAACATTTAGATTAGAAAGTCTCCTAAGAGATAAGATAGTATGAAAAATATGTCATGCCAGAGTTCAGAAGCTAAGCGGCGGAAAGTTAGCTTAAGAACCACTTTCCTAGGAAGGCTCAGAGGTCAATTGTTAAAAGAGCAGCCTCAAGAGGGACATACAAAATAGCAGCGAAAGGCTTTTATGATTGGTTGGTGAGTCACTCATCCTTAGCCAATAGAAAATAGCCCCCGCAAAAAGGTTGCTTTCGTCACATTTGCGCAGCGTGCCTTGGAAAACCGGAGACGGGGAAGAAGGCGCAGAGAATTTGGAGAAGTGACGGATACGTCATCCAATAAAAATGCGAACCAATAGAAAGCTTGGAATGCATCAACATGCGATTGGTTTAGCTTCCTTGGAGGTGGACCTTGGGCGCCACGGTTGCTATGACGGCAGAATGCCCACCTTCCCGGCGCCGCCATCTTGTTGTTGATTCGAACTGTAAGGGAGCAGGTGAGGGAAGTCTTGAAGCCGGCCTGGGGGGACCCAGCAGCAGCGCCCCCCGGCCAGGCAGGGGGAAATTTTACGTTGGTGAGTTTCGGGCCCTTGTTCTTCGTAGGAAGCGATCCGGACCCAAAAAGGAGGGCGCCTTTTCCGAACTGGATGTGGGAGGGGATCGGGGAGTGAATGAGTGCTGGTAGGGGAAAAGGTAAGGCCGGTTCCGGAGGTGTGAGGGATCCCGACGGGTAGGACAGCAAAGCCACCTGGCTGAGGGCTGCTGCCGAAGGTGTCCTCACGACGACGATTCTTCTGGAGCTGCTCAAGAGAAGCCTATGGCACAGGTGTCTGTTGAGCAGCTTCCCCCGTTTGGCGCCCTCTAGACGACTTTACCGAGCTTCACCTCAGATCCCATCATCCCCGACCGGCGCTATGAGGGTCGGGTGGTCGAATATAATCCAAGTAGGGAGGGCGCCAGGTGGGGGTTGAGGGAGAAGCTGTGGTAGAAGCTAAAGAAGTTGTGGCTTTCCGTTCCGCTCTTTGCCTCCCCTTGATGAATGAAGCCTAGCCGTGAGATTCACCGGCTCGTTTTGGAGGGGGACTTGTAAGGAATGATAGGGACAGATGTTGGTGACATCTGCAGGATGATAGGTGATTGTGTGTGTGTGTGTGTGTGTGTGTGTGGTGGGGGAGAGTGTGCTGAAGGTACAGAAACTTTTGCTGGGGGGGGGGGGGGGACTTGGGGTGCCATAAACTTTTTCCCATCCACCAGGCGGACTAGCAAGAACAGTATTAAGTTTTAAAGTTGTCTAAATTTATTGAGAAATTTGTGTTGGTTTTTGGCAGGAGACTTTTTGGCCTGGAACTTCCATCCTAGCAAAACACCTTGGCCCCGATCCAAAGCACTGTGGGAAACAGCAAAAAGGTTTTCCTCCATGGGCAGTGAATGTTTTAGAGTTGTGAAATAGTAGAAAATGAAAAAAAAATGATAGTTGAATTAGGCTGATTCTTGTTTATATAACAGCTCTCTACGGGGAACTAGTACTGAACTGTGATGAATTGGACTTTTTCCGAGGGCCTCTCAGTACTGCAAACTTTTTCCCCATTTATATGTTAATCATTTTAATGTTATACATATGCTTATCCTCTACCGACTTGAAGCAAGTTTCAAATATTTAGAAAGTGTAGATTATTCTTCATTAAAATAGTTTTGCATCATGTTAACTTTATTTGCTGCCCATCTCACATTTCAGGGCAACTTTGAGCGGCTTACAAGATAAAACACTTAAAACATTAAGTTATAAATATAAAAACTGATTAAAATAGCAAAAAGTAAAACAAACTAAAAACAAGAGTTTGGAAGGGAGATGTGGGGATGCTTTGTCTATTACGGGTAGACAACAGCTCCACCTTCAGCCAACAGCTTCTCCTTCAGGACCCCATGTCAGCTGGCATGGCCAGGTTTTTCTTGATGGCTGAAGAGAGGATCTTATCTTCTGTGGCAAGATGTTCCAAAGAGCAGGAGCTGTGGCAGAAAAGGATTTTCTCCAGTATCTCACCAGCTGAAATTCCTTGGTTATTGGGATCTGCAATAGGCCCCCTTTTGCCAGCATGAGTGGGGCAGGCCAATTCCATTGGGGAAAGACAGTTCTGCAGATACCCTAGACCAGGGGTGTCAATAGAATAGAATAGAATAAAAAATTTTATTGGCCAAGTGTGATTGGACACACAAGGAATTTGTCTTGGTGCATATGCTCTCAGTGTATATAAAAGAAAAGATACATTTGTCAAGAATCATAAGGTACAACACTTATTGATAGTCATAGCGTACAAATAAGCAATCAGGAAACAATAAATTGTATAAATTGTATATAATAAATTGTAAGGATACAAGCAACAAAATTACAGTCATACAGTCATAAGTGGAAGGAGATGGGTGGTGGGAACGATGAGAAGATTAATAGTAGTGCAGACTTAGTAAATAGTTTGACAATGTTGAGGAATTATTTGTTTAGCAGAGTGATGGCATTCAGGAAAAAATTGTTCTTGTGTCTAGTTATTCTGGTGTGCAGTGCTCTATAGCGTCATTTTGAGGGTAGGAGTTGAAACAGTTTATGTCCAGGATGCGAGGGGTCTGTAAATATTTTCACAGCCCTTTTTTTGACTCATGCAGTATACAGGTCCTCAGTGGAAGGCAGGTTGGTAGCAATTGTTTTTTCTGCAGTTCTAATTATCCTCTGAAGTCTGTGGATGTCTTGTTGGGTTGCAGAGTCAAACCAGACAGTTATAGAGGTGCAGATGACAGACTCAATAATTTCTCTGTAGAACTGGATCAGCAGCTCTTGGGCAGTTTGAGCTTTCTGAGTTGGCACAGAAAGAACATGGCAACATGTGGGCTGGATGCATCATAAATAGGCCACACCCACCCCAGTTCCGGGGAAATGTCACGATAACGTCACGTGATAGCAACGTGATGCCATGAGTTTCATTACCTGTGTCATATACCCATGGCAAAAAAGTCTTTAAAGGTAGTAACAAGCACCTTGAATTGCCCCAAAAGCAGATTGGCAGCCAGTGCACTTGCATAACAGTGATGTTACATGTGCCACCCTAGGGACCCCCATAACTGTCCATGCTGGACCAATTGAAGCTTTCAAATACTCTTCAAGAGTAGCCCCACGTAGAACATGTTGCAATAATCCAAGCAGAAGATTACCTGGGCATGAATGACTGAAAGAACAGAATGATCCAGGATACAGTTGGCATACCACATGAAGGGTTTCCCAGCCATGACTGCCACCTGCTCTTAGAGCAAGAGTTGCAAGTCTAGGAAAAGTTTGTTATGAAGTCTAGATCTTTGTTATGAAGAGCAAGTGAATATGCCTGAAATCAGCTAATTAATTGCCTGGAACTATTTTTTTAATAAACAGCATCTGTTAAAATTGCATATATATAAATTTATGGATACATTTGGTAAATGATCTTGTCAGTCCACTGACAAGAGTCAAGTAATTAGCAATGAGATAATATTAATAATTATGATTATTAGATTATTGCTGAAAATAAATTCTCATTGCTTAGAATGCTGTTCTTATTAGCATATCAAGATAAATAGGAATTGCCTTTCAGTTTCTATTTAAAATTCACTTATTACTGCCCTCTAGAATATGTTAGGTTCATAATTTGTTCAAGAATCTAGGCAGCATGATATGAATGCCTTTCACTTACTTGAGATCTGGTGAATGCTATGCTTCTCTTGAGATTGAAGAAGTGTTTGAAATTTCAGGCAATAGTGCTCTACATGCGATTTGATACAGTAATCTTGAGAGTATTTTTTGTATTTATGCATCTGTGGTACTATTTTCACGGTATATCTGAAGGAGTTTCTAATCTCTCTCCTCCTAAATAGTAGGTGCCATTAAGTCGGGTTCAGTTCCTGGTCATCTTGACCTGTCTTCCCTCTGATGCAGTCCATCTACCTTATCTGTTTCCCTTTTCTGTTTTCCTTGGCCTTGGCTAACTGCAGTAATGGAACCACAATGAACTATCTTATCACAGTAGGATTTCTTTAAAAAAAACATGCAGTTTCAGAAAGAATTTTTTTTGTTATATTCCTTGCAGTTAGCTTATATTTTCTTCACTGTCTTTAGACTGCCAGGCTTCCCCATAGCTGGTGTTTATGGGATAAAAATGCAATTAATAATATGACTTGTTTGACCTCAGTTTTATTTTTAAAAGTATTCTCTTAATTACATCTGCTTTTAGCAGAAATCATTACTTACCAATGGAAATACCTAGATAATCTTTTGCTTGAATGTGATTGGATAAGATTTGGTTGTTTGTACTGTTTGGGAAGGTCTCATTAATACATAAAATCCATATATT